GAAAAAAAAAAAAAAAAAAGAAATAGACCATATGTAGCACAAGAATAGTAGGCCACTTATTTCCAAACAATCTTGAGGTCTCTATTACACAATTGTGTGACAGTACAAACTCCACAACAATACAACCACACGAGGAGCACACATCATGATAATAAGTTTCCAGGAATTATCGACTAATTCAAAACAACTACGTAAAGGACGAGTTGAAGTGCGCTTAAGAGACCACGCGATGAGAAGACAAAGACATCCTCTTTTTCCTCAACCTCTCTGCAACAATAAAGGCAAGCTCGAGCGACTGTGAAGCATTCAACCTCGGGTCACACTGTGTGTGGTAACGTGAGCTGAGGTCATCATATGTCACTGTTCTTGATCCTCCTATGCATTCAGTCACATTTTGGCCCGTCATCTCAAGATGAATGCCACCAGGATTGCTGCCTTCTTGTTCGTGAACATCAAAGAAAGCCCTCACCTCAGCCTAAAACATGAAATTCAAGAACAAATATAAAAGAAAATTTGGGCCAGCCCAGCTCGGGGCCCAAAACAAATCAGCCCAAACTTGTTTAAAAATTCAATGCTTCTGGGCCTAATCCCACGTTTAGATTTAGGTATGCAGGAATCATAATCAATGTGGTCCATTTGATAGAACGGCAACTAATAGCAAGCAACGAGTCAAGATTTCGACCAATGAAACTTTTGAAAAGCTTGAAAATAATTGAACCACGTGACAGACAATTTAGTACAATGATTCACTAATAAAACAACAAAACTGGAATAGTTGTGCAACCCAACCCTACTTCTCTTGTCCCACCTACCTTGAAACGATTTTGCAGTCGTTAGATTGTGTTTAGTTACATCAATTCAATTTATTTCGACATAAAGCTATATATAATTCCAATATTTTTCCCTCTCAACGTGCTTTTCGTGCCTGCCACAAGGACATTTCACGATCACCTTGTCCATATCCACTGAAACTATTCGATACAGATGTTCTAACAACACGAACTTCACATGTACTCCTAAAACTTGGGATTCAAACACAGATGTACTATTTACTCGTATATGATGTGATATATATAGTCATTGGTAACACAAAACTTCAACACGGTCCAAACTAAGATTTACTCTGGGTTTGGGTTGGATTTACTGATCAAATTAAAACAATAAAAACCAACTTGTCACTAGTACGGCTATGTTTGGTAAAACTAGCTGATAGCTGATAGCCTATAAGTGCTTTTCGAGCTTATAGCTTATGACTTATAGCTGAAAAGCTAGCTTATATAATAAAAGTGTTTGGTAAATTTACCTAGCTGAAATAAAATTTCAACGAGCTTATTTGAAAAACTCATCCTACCAAACGAAGCTTATTTGAATACAGAGAGCTTATAAGCTAACCAAATAAGCTATAAGTTAGCTTATTTGGTTACCAAACATAGCCTAAATAGAAAAAAGGGATCATACCAAGATGGCATCAAAAGCACGAGTTTTGAGTCCGCAAGGCGCCTTAATCGTGTTCCCATGCATAGGATCACATACCCAGGTCACGATCTGCCCGGCTCTACGGACGGCCCTGATTAAATGACGAAGCTTAACTCTCATGTTCTCAGCACCCATTCTAACTATGACTGTTATTCTCCCTGGTTTGTTAGTAGGGTTCAAGATGTCAATCAACTTAGTGAGTTCATTAGGGTCCATCTTTTGGCTCACCTGCACCAAAAAGAAAACGAAATTAAAAAATCACCTATAGAGGAGTAATGGTTTTAACTTGTATGAAAGGCAATGTTTAATTAGTCCACTTAGTTGGGAGTGTTTCGCATCATTCTTTCTGGCTAGAAGCTGAGAACTGCTTTTTAATTCTGACTATGAATCATATACGTTAATATTCAGGCTTAGCCTAACTGCCAAAACAGCTCAATCATGGTTCCAAGATTACAAAGAGTGTTTGTAAAGTAAACCAGTTTCTCCCTAGTTCTATTAGCAGATACTCCAAACTTGAAGGACTATTCCGTAAACAATTGCGAAAAATAGAGTTACCTTGACACCAAGAGGATTAGCGACCCCTCTTAAGAACTCGACATGTGCGCCATCGAGCTGCCTCGTCCGCTCGCCAACCCAAAGCATGTGGGCCGAGCATCCATAATAGAGCCCAGAAGTTGAATCCTCACGTGTGAGGGCTTGTTCGTAAGGCAGTAAAAGGCACTCATGCGAAGTCCAGAAATCAGTGGTGGACATAATCGGGTGGTCGATCGTGAGCCCAGCAGCCTCCATAAACCCCAGGGCCTCATCAACCCTGTGAGCCAATTCTTCATACCTAACCATGCAATCCACAATCACAATCAATAAATGTTATAAATTATGAAATGAGAAGATTTCATCTCTTAAATAACTAGTATTCGACCTGATATAAATAAAGTATTGTGAGTTATTTGTGTGCATATAATGATTAATGATTTTTCTGGCACTTTTTTGCAGGCCAAATTTACAATTAAAAGAGTTGGAATATTTATTTTTTTAAATTGTGTTTATCATATTGGATGTAATGTATATTTTGGTATGTATTTTTTTATGTGAATTATTTATTATTTATTTAGAAATTTCAAATACGTTTTTTATTTTCCAAAAGAAGTTAATTTAAATGTAACCACAACAATAACATCTAATCACGTTAAATAGTCAATACATTATATGGTCAGCTGTAAGTAAATCAAAACTTTAGAATAATTTTTGTAATTTTGAAGTGATTAGTGTGTTGATTATATAATAATTAAATGAGAGGTTAAATAAATAGAAAGTAACGGTTTTTGGAGGGAAAAAGTTATATTGCCACATAGGTATAATTTAATAGGTTTTATTAAATGCTCATGAGCCAGCAATTATATATATAAAAAAGTAAAAACAAAATAATAATATGAAAAACACCTGTCTCCTTGCTCGCTGTTCTCGACAAAATCAAGATTCCATTGAGTAACCCTCTGCATTGCAGCATAACCTCCGGTGGCAAAGGCTCGGAGAAGATTGAGGGTCGATGCAGACTGGCAGTAGGCTCGTATTAACCTATGAGGGTCGGGGATTCTTGATTTCTCGTCAAAATCATCCCCATTTATGTTGTCTCCTTTGTAACTGGGTAATTTCACTCCATCCCTTTCTTCGTATGGGTCGGATCTTGGTTTAGCAAATTGCCCAGCCATTCTCCCCACCTAAATGAAAAACCACTCGGAAAATAAATGCAATAGATAATCGAGAAGAAAAAAAATAAACAGAATTTTCAGACGCTTGTACGCCAGTCACTAAGTTGCAAGCAAATAAGCAATAGGTAATTGACAATAATTGTTATGTCACAGAGATCCCATATATTTTGACTTTGAGAAAACTCTTCAAGTTCAATCCTTAGGTCACCAAAACAATTCAGCATGTACAGCTTACGATTGAACATGAAAACAATTTTGAAAAAAGAATGAAGGATACATTAAAAGGACAGAAAAAACTCCAAATTTTCAAAAAAAAAAAAAGATAAAGGAAAGGCACATACAAAACTTATTTCCACATTAGTGGGTGTGGATATTAACATGCAACAAGGATATCCTCAGCAAAATTTCCAATTTCAAGAGTATTTTCAAAGTACACTGACTTTCTCAAAATCCATGACTTATGCAAAATCCCCTGACTCCACTGACATAAAGATGATAATTATCCCCCACCATCTACTGATAAATCAAGTGCCATAGAGTTTTTCTCTAGTCAGACTATTGCAGAACAAGCATACATGCATATTTAAATTCATCAATCCTCCAATAGCGATTATTTTCCAAAAAGCCTTCATTTTTTTCATCAAGCAAGAAAGCCACGACAATATAACATCTGGTTCTTACAGCTAGAAGTCACCCGTCTGACAATTTCAGCAATCAAACTCCACAAATCTGACAGCCAAAAACCGAGAATGGAAAATTTGCAAAACAATAATGGAATTGTTTCACCTATCTTTCTATTTTACTTTTTCAAAATGTTACCTTAATGACAGGCAATTGGCCGCCGAACGAGAGGACCACACTCATCTGGAGCAGAATTCTGAATGTATCGCGAATATTGTTGGCATTGAACTCCTTGAAGCTCTCGGCGCAGTCGCCACCCTGCAAGAGGAAGGCTTTGCCGAGCGCAGCATCCGCCAGCCGCTCCTCCAGGCTGCGCACCTCGCCGGCGAACACCAATGGAGGGTAGGCTTCCATCGTCTTCAGCACGGACTCGAGCTCGGCCTCGTCTGGGTACTCCGGAAGCTGCAGCGCTTTCTTGGTCTTCCAGGTGTTCGGGGCCCACCTGGTCGCGGAGGGCGGCGGAGATGGAGGTGAGGCGGTTGTCTTGGCAGTGGAGGCGGCGGTTAGGACAGGGGTTTTAGCGGGCTCGGCTGCGTGGACAGCAGAGATGCGGCGGCGGGCGGCGGGGTTGATGGACAATGAGGAGGGGTGGGCGGTGGCGGAGAGAAGGGTGGTTTGGGGATGAATGCCGGATCTTGACGACATGGCGGCGGTGTTTGGTAAAGCCATTGGTGTTTCTTTCTTTGTTTTCCTTTCTTGCAGAAAGAGGGAGATTTGGTTGTACAGAACGCCCAATTTC